GATAGTGGGCTGCCCGTCTCAAATGAAACACTTTGCCCCTGCCCAGCTCAAGTTTAGCAGATATGTGCCGACGAATTTGCTACGTGATCTGACACAAAAGTCACAATGGTGACGTCTTTAGTGGGTGAAAATACTGACATCTGGTCTTATCTTTGGAACAGACTTGAAGGCTGCCGAGTCCACTTTGGAAGAAAGGTAAGTTCTGGAGTTTTCCAGGTCCAGCAGCAGCTGGGACGGGGCTAAGTTTAGGGTCCAGGTACCCTTCTGCTCAGCCGGAGCCCAGCTACCGCGCGCCGCTGCATTCCCGTTGGGTCCGATGTCCCGCGGGTGCCTCAGCGCGCACCGTGACAGGCCGCCGCCTGTCACCAGCGCTGCCATCTTACCGACTGTACTCCCTGAGCTGTGCCTGGTGCCTTACTTCCTATGTAACTGTTTCTACCTCTTAATCCGCCATCCACTTCACCCCCCCACTGCACCCCCCACCACAAGATTGCTCTCTGCACGCGAGAGTCTAGTTTTTTTGTTTGTCTCTTCTTTTCTTTGTTTCGCTTCTGAAGTTCCACATGAGTGAAATCATATGGTAATCGTCGTTCTCTGACTCAGTTCCCTTAACATCATACATACATAAAGAACTTCCACAAATCAACACCAGAGAAACAAATAATCTGATTAAAAACAGGCAAAGAACCTGAACAGACATTTTTCCAAAGAAGACGAACAAACAGACAACAGACATGTGAAAGGGAGCTTGGGGGCTGGTGCCGGCGCAGAGGGAAGGGACCCACGGGTGCTGTGGGGGGGGTGATGCAGACGGGTGCAGCTGCTGCTGGGACAGTGTGGAGGCTCCTCAGAGAGTTACAGATTGGGCCCCTGCGGCCCGATAAGCGCACAAGGTGGGGTTCACCCAAGAAAAGTGAAAACCTTGAGACACTAATTTGAAAAGATGTGCCTCCTGTTGATCACATTACTTACAGCAGGCGAGACAGGGAGGCAGCCCGTGTGTCCATCCACACAGGAGTGGAGACGATGTGGTGTGTGCCTACACACACACACGTACACAGACGTACACACATGTATACACATGCATACGCAGACATACACATATATACACATACACATATATGCACACACACACAAACATATACACACTCACACATATATACACATATACACATGTGCCTGCACATACACACATGCACATATACACACATACACATATATGCACATATACACATAGACATACACACATATATACACACATATACACATGTGCATACACATATACACATGCACATATATACACATACACATATATGCACAAATACACACCTTCATATACACACATGCATAAACACACAAACACACACGGGTGTATACACACATATACACATACACATGTGCATACACACATACACATGCATATACACACATGAATACACATATACACAAACACATACATACACACATATGCACATGCACACATACATATACACATGTATACACATATCCACTCACAAATACATACATATACACGTACAAACAGAAACATACACACACACACACACACACACACACTGTTAGTCTCAGGACCAGGAAAGGATCATTTTATCTTTACCTCAGAAAATCAGAATTAACTTTGAAAACAAAAAGCACTGCTAAGGTTGTACAGACAGACGCAGGGCTGACTTTTGGGTCCCTAGTGGAGTCAGAGGCCAGAGACGGCACCCCTACAGTCACCAGGGCTCGAAGGGATTTCCGTCTCCATAGACTCGCAGAGCCTGTGTGCTGTTTAGCCCCCTTCTTGGGGTCTCTGAGGGACGGGGCCCCCGGCTGCTGGCGCCTGCCGCATCTCGTCCCCACAGTAAGCGTGTGCACCTCGTCCGGGGGTCTCGGGGCCACGGGATGGGTCCCTCAGTCTCATGGTTCCTCCCTCCAGGCGGCGGCCAGCCCGCGGGGGCTCCGTCCCTCAGGCCGCCCTCCCCCCATGCCAGGAGCCCAGGCACCCAGGACTCGCACTGCGCACCGTACAATCAGCAAACACGCGGGCCGAGTCGAGGTCCGGTGTCCCTCAGCACGGAGCAGCAGCCCCTCCATGCTCAGTGCTATGCCAGCCGGCGGGGCCCTGGGAGGCTGAGTCCCCCTCAGAGCACATGAGGGCACGCGACATCTGCACATGGCCCGCACGGCCCAGAGGCCAGGGGAACACACAGGGTGGGCTGTCTCCCGCAGACAGGTGCCGGGGACAGCCTCCCGAAGGGGCTGAGTCCCCGCGGCTGCATGCTGCATGCTCCCGGGGCAGGGCTCTGCTCCCACCACCCCGGAATGGAGGTCTGCAGGGGTGTGGGCAGGCAGAGGTCAGTGGGGGGTGCGTGAAGAGATGTGACGGACAGACGCCAGGACAGGAGGAACTCAGATGAATTCACAGGTGGGACAGGAGTGGTTTAATGCCTTTGTTTAAAATTTCTGCCACACTCTGTGCTTCCTCCTCTCAGGATGCTCTGACACATGCTGCAAGGAAACTTCCGGAATAAAAGAACACAGTAATGACCCAGGTCTCAACAGGGGACCCATTAGCGGGGTCCTGACCTCCTTCCACACGGAAGCACCGGCCTCCGAAGATGACATTATCACTCAGCATTACCCTGTGAGAGCTGGGGATGTGCTAACTGCCCCGCATACCGTGGGGATAATTACCTGAGATCAACAAACCCTCTAAAAACATGGGCTGCGAGTGAGAAAATTACAGCTTGGCTTAGAAAATCAAGGGCCCTTACGGGCCGGGGCTTAGAAAGCCACTTAAAATGAAAGCTGTACCTTTTAAGAAGAAAACACATCAGCCTAAATGTGGCTTGAAGCGTGTGCCCATGGGCCTGCTGCTGAGCTGTTCCGGAAACAGTTTTCTCCTCTCGACAAGAATAGCCTCTATCCTGGAGTCATTTCAAGACCCACTTGTCTTTTCCTAATAAGGATAAATATCTCCAAAAATCAAAATGATTAAGTGGCCATGAATGGTACCGAGTGGCTCGTGTGCCTGGAGGCTGGTTTTTATTTAGGGTGTGAGCCAGGAGGGGACCTCGCCGTGACAGCCCAATGACTCCCCGCCGCTGGGCCCAGAGGCCAGGCCCTCGAGCTGCGGGACGTTCCCTGACGCTCCGGACGGCGCTGTGACCGCCGTACCAGCTGGTGAGGTGTCGCCGTGCTTCTCAACTGGACCCTCGGCTGCTCCCCTGGGACAAACGACCATTCCCATCCCGGATTAAGAACCCAGTCTAATATTTAAGGTGTGGACCCCGCCAGGGAGGGAGCTTCCCACCACGTACACCACCACCAGGAAGTAACAGGGAGTCCTCTCTCATCATAGCGCCCCCTCTGCCGGGCAGCAAAGCCAGGCCAGACGCGAGCACATGGACCAGACACCCCATCGCAGGTTCCCACCAAATAAGGGAACGCGAAGAGTCGTGGGCCCTCAGAGCCAAAGTCAAACAATCTGCGTGACGTTCATGCGACGGGGCAGGACCGGCTAGACACAGCGAGCGCTGGCCGCGGGCTCCCCGTGTGCCCAGCACGTGCTAGGCTCACTCCTTCCTGTGAGGGACACGCTGGTGCACCACTGAGGCAGTAGATCACACCCGGTGACAGAGGGAGAGAATTCCCTCTGGTCCGAGAGCATGAAGGAGCGTGTGATTCAGCCATTCGCCGAGCTCCTCCTAAGAGTGAGACGCCATGTAGACACGAGGCGCTTAGCCAGGAATCCGCACGCGTGTTTGCCGCTGCTCTCTCCCTCTCTCCCCCTCCCAAGACTCAGGAAGGACCCCGATGCCTGAAACACAAGGCAGGCTGACCACCCCCCGAGAGAAACGCTGTGCCATAGAGCCGTGTCTCCCACAGGCTCCTCGGACCTGCGTCCGCAGGCAGACACCGGGTGGGCCTGGAGCCGGGGAAGCCCCCCAGGCAGACACCTCAGCAGCAGGGCGACGGCAGAGCGGTTCTCGCTGAGGACGCGGCCGCCTCCCTCCCTCTCTGCGCCCTCTGTCTTAGGAGCTGTGGTGCCCAGTGTTGTTGGATGGACGATGGGCGCGTCCAGGTGATGTTCTAGTCTTTTCTATCTTTACTCATGAAAGGAAAACATCTTTAGGTGTCGGAGTTTCAAACCCTCTTCCCTGATACTAGCACGAATAAGGCAAGAACGGCATTTCCTAAGGGGACTTGACACAGACTTTGTGGAAGGCCAAGATCAAGCGTGTGCTCGGAGCTCAGGACCTGAGAGCAGGACGTCCACGGCCTCTGAGGCATCAGGTAAACACACACAATCTAGAGACACTTAAAAGAAAAAAAGACCCGAATGAAACAAACTAGCAACTGGCTTTGAAGCGTCTCACTGATGCCATCACATTCGCCACATCATGTCAGAGCTCCGTCTCTACACGCCGTGATCTCAGGACACGAGCCCGAGCGCTGGTCCCCGTACCTCCCCCGCCGGGAGACGCAGACCCCAGGCAAGGCTGTAGGCGTGACCATCGGAGGAATAATTTCCGGTGTGTCCAGAACACTTAACGTGCTCTTTGCTGAAAGACACCTTTTCGTGAACGTATTTTTAACAATTGTAAGATCGAACTCACTGCCTCTGTTTAATTTGAAATAGTTCTTTGCCATTAAACGCACCTGATACAAAGATTGAGCTCAGGTTTTACTAAAACCTAAACTTCAGCTCCTTGAACTGTTGATTCAATTGTAAAGGAACGTCAGAAAGCAGCATTCGAACGACTACCTCCCTTCAGGTAAAACAATTAAAGGACCGTTTGGTGCAGAGGTTCTGATTTCAGAGACAGCGGCCGCATCTCGCACAGGCCGGGTCTCAGCCCTGCTGGCCGCGGGCGCTGCCCTGCGAGGTGCCCGTGGGAGCCCCCGCCCGCAGGTGCCCCCGGGGACAGAGCCGGAGGGACCCCTCCCCGCCCACACCTGCTGGCGGAGTCGCTCCGCCGTGAGGCCGAGGCGCTCACCTTGCAGCGGGCGGTCCTGGTACAGGTCCCTGGTCCGGGCCGGGTGAGCCCGGGCCGTGTGGTCACATTTCGGCTGCTCGTACCTGCGAGGGAAGGAGAGCGAAGCCGGGTTTAGGCCTGGAAGGCGGTGCTTTCTTCCATGTCCCAGCGTGCAACGGCCCCGTCCTGGGCCCGCGGCACATCTGTGGTGTCTCCTTCCTGGGACTCAGGACCTTCCCGGACCTCTGTGAGCATTTACTAGACTTTATTTTCCAGTCGGGAGGAAGGGCCACGCTGCAGACAGACCTTACACGGCGGCTGCAGAACGCCACTGCCTCCCCACCCCCATGTCTTAGGGTTTGTTGTGGTTCAGAGGGAGTGGGAGGGGGTACGCCAGGTCATCGGGGGCAGGTGGCTGTGGCCCCCGAGAGAATGCAAAATCTCGGAAAGAACCTCCGAAGTTTGGATGCATGTCTGACTGAGAGACACACTAAACCTTAATCCAATTTATGAAGCTACAGAAGGGTGTCCCTATGTTAAGAAAGGAAGGAGGGAGGAAGGAGGGAGGGAGGAGGGAGGGGGAAGGGAGGGAAAAAGGAAGGGGGGGGAGGAGGGAGGGAGGGGGGAAAGGAGGGAAGAAAAGGAAAACTCTGCATCCGGCCCCACATCAAGTGACCACAAAAGCGCGGAGCACCGACGGGTGGGGTCGCACACGGAGCAGGCGCGTGGCCGCCGCTGGCGTGTCCCCTCAGGACAGCAGGGCCCTCTCCCCGGTCTGACGCCGCTGGGCAGCAGTGGGCACTGGCCCCGGGGGCCCTCCCTGGCCGGCTCCTCAGGAACGACCGTGGGAGCCCCGAGCAGGCCGCGCGCGGGGACTCTGCGGGACCCGCCTCCCCGAGCTGCCTGTGGTCGGACAACGTGAGCCAGTGGGGAGGGTGCAGGTGGAATGTTCTGGACCGAACCCCGCTGATTTGGGGAAGTGGACGAGCTTCTGTTGACTCCTCACCATCCGTTCTGCCTTATTCTCCTTCCTCACTCCCCAAGGAGGGCACGGGGCATCGTTTCTGTTTCCTCTTTTTCCTGACTTTTTGTTTTCCCACCATAGAAAAAGCGCTGAAGTGTCTCCCCGAGGGACACACTGTAAGTGTCCTTCCCGGTGCCCAGTCCTGGGGGCGGGGGACGACCTGGTGCGGCTGAAACAGCCAGGGGACCACAGCCCAGCCCCCACGCCCACCCCCACACTCCCCGCACCCCACCCTGCACCCTCCACCCGCACCCCAAATAGCCTCTTTGATGCCAGAGAACCTAACACTCACACAAATGTAACGTGTTTTTGAAGTGTTGTTCTGGAAACTCAAGTGTCCTCAACATGCTCAGGCGTACAGTTAAGCTATCACGTTCACACTTGTTAGAAGTGTAGTGGGGCTCAGTGTAGACGGCACAGGGTCCACAGTCACAAGAATGTGAGCCCAAGCGAGGGGACCGGCACCTCAGCCGGGGCGTCCCCCACACCTGGAACTCCAGTGGGTACTGGGGAGCCAAAGTCCAGGCAGAGAGGGCGAGCAAAGAAGCCGCGGATGAGGGACGGCGCTGAGCTCCTGCTCTCACGGGTGGTGTCTGGAGAACTCGAGGTCTTTACCACAGGCTCCGGTCAGTGGCCGTGGGGCTGGCACAGCTTGGAACTGGTGCCTATGTTAGATGTGACCCCGTCACAGCTGATGGCCGTGACATGTGCGCTGGAAGGTCACAGCCAGTGTCCCAGCTCCTGACGGAAGAGGTGGAAGCTGGGGACGGAACGCTCCGTGGACAGTCACGTGCCCGGCCACTCCGGGGGACGTCCTGTAGGACAGCATGCTCCTCGCAACTCCCCGTCCTGAGCCTTTATTTGAAGTGACCTGGGAACTAGCCCGCTGACCCTTCCAGCTCTGTCCCTGATCTGACCTGGAGAGCTCTTAAGAATCCTAGCATACCCAGTACAGAAATGTATATTCAAATGACAGCACCCTGCCTCTTCTAGAGTCCTGTGACACGCCGTGACTCGCAGAAATGGCGGTCTCAAGAAATAGAATTCGTGCCTTTGAAGTCTCGAAGAAAAACAAAGTTCAACTTCAGCACTGACACGCCTCACTTTCCTTTCAATCCTGTTTAGTTTATTTGTATGAGAAAAAAAATGAGCATCTCTTGACGGTCCAGCTGCCCGTCAGATACCAGGCTCTCCGCTGGGGAGAAGTGTGACTTCACGCTCACGTGGCACGTGCATGTGGCCAGTGAGAGAGACAGGCTCCAGAGTCGGGGATGGGGACTGCCCCACTGCGAGGTGAGAACAGCCTGGAGTCTCCTGGCAGATGGGAGAGCCCTTCCCCAGCCATCAGGAATGTGAAGGAGAGATCTCTCTGGGGAACGTGAAGGAGAGATCTCTCTGAGGAACATGAATGAGAGATGTCTCTGAGGAATGTGAAGGAGAGATCTCTGTGTTCTGGGAGCTAATGTAGCAGCCGGCAATCAGCCTGATGCGGCGTAATGGGACTGCCCACTCAGCTCTCCGCACTGCTGCACAGCGGCCGGGTTGGAGCCCATCCCCGGCCTCCCAGGTCCTACGGGACCGCGCGGCGTGGGCTCACGCAGGGGCCTGGGCTCTGGCCCACGGGGAATCAGCACACAACACACTACGGCCAAGATGCCAATTCTGACACCAAAAGGCTGGAGAAGCAGGAGGCATGTCTGGGTGTCGTTCAAGTCCTATTTCTGGCCTGATGATCATCCCGACCAGAAATTCTGTGCTGGAAGGAGGCCGCCCTCCCCCTGGCAGGCAGGCAGCGGACTTCTACCGCCCTGGGCACGGTCGGCCCCAACACCCGTGCGTTCTCACGATCTTGCTTGTTGACAGGAGGAAAAGGGAGCTAGCTGGCTCATAATGACAACGCATTTTATGTTCATGGCTTCGCTCTCTCTTGGAGTTTTAAATTATTGTTCCCATTGCCAAACAGAAATGTAGAGGGGAACTGAGGGGAAAACATGGGAACCATCTACGCAAATTACAGCAAAACTATAAAGTATCTCCCTGGAACTGCTCATTGCAGAAAATCATAAGAAAATAGCATTCATGCAACAGAGAGAAAGAAAACTTTCTGCAACTTCCCCGCCCAGTCCCATTAGAGCCTGTGGTAGATAGGGGTGAGGCTGGCCTGCAGCCCTTACTGTTGATAATTTGATTTCCCACATCCATGCCTCTCTAGGCATCAGTCTAAGCCAGTTCCATCTTTCATGCCGGGGATGGGCTTGCCCATGATCATGGGATCCAATTCTGGCCAAGAAGCCATGAATTAAATTTGCTAGGAAACTTGGGGAAGGTTGCTTGGATTCCCAATAAAGAGATGAGCCGTGTGTTCCCCTGAGCACTGTGGTGTTTGGATGAGACGCACGGATCCCTGCAGCCATCTTGTGAGCATGAGAAGAGTCTATATTCAAGGGTGAGGACAAGACAGCAAGGATGTCAAAGATCCGGAAGATTCTGTGTTGTCAGTGACATCACTAAATCATAGCATCAACTGAAATGAAGCTTTCTTCATCTCTGTTAATTCTCACCGGAGAGAAATACAGCCCCTCACTGTTTAGGCCCATTTGTTAGATTCACCACCATTAAAAATGAAAGGCTTCCATACTGGAATACCCCACCTTCTGACTGAAACTGAACGAGATTCTGGCTCAGGGACATCCACGGTGCAGGGCAGCGCTCACTGTCTGGACCTCCCTCCCACATGCAGCTGGCAGCTTGCCCCACAACGTCTTCAGGACTCGACTCCAGCCTCAGCATTTCAGGGAGCCCCCTGGCCATTCTGTTCACGCCCCTCTCCCTATTTCTCCAGTGCACTTGTCATTTGCCAGTGTGCTTATTTATATCTGGAGTAGCTGCTTCTGTGTTTTGCCCATAGTCTGTCCCCTTCCATTGGGACAGAAGCTCCCTGGAAGCCTGGATTTTTCTCTATTTTGTTTCCTGCATGTCCTCAGCCCCAGAAGAGCACACACAACGTTGAGGGCACGGGGGGGGGGTGGTGATCCTGTCCCAGGCCGGGTGCTGAACGATGGGAACCACAGTGGATCCCTCCCCTAGACAGCAATGGGCCTGGTCTTGGACGGACAGTCTGGCAAACTCGAGTGAGGGAAGAACACGCCGGGGGAAGGCGTGCTTGCTGGCAGCAAGAGGCACAGACTACATTGCCATGGCTGTGGAGCATGCTTCTAGCAACCCTGTCAGGAGTCAGTCACAGAGCAAGTCAAAGATGGTGGAGCACAGAGAACAGAAAAAACAGATAATTAAGTATGTCCATGAACCGCCAAGATAATCTGAACTTCCCTTCACTTTTGCAGTGTGTGGGCTGGTAAGTTGTGAGGCTGCTTGGATGTGACGACTTTTCTTTTGCTGCAATGGAAAACCTGCTCATTGCCTGACATTCCTGAAGCAGAAGAGAAAGCCCCTGAGAGAGACCTGCTCGTTCCTCAGTCCCTAGGATAGTGATGAGGGTATGACTGACAGTCAGCATCTGGGACGGATGGATGCGTGGATGGATGATGGATGGATGGGTGGATTGGTAGGTGAATGGGAGGTGTGTGGATGCACATATGGATGGATGAATGATGAATGGATGGATGGATGATGGATGGATGGGTGGATTGGTAGGTGAATGGGAGGTGTGTGGATGCACATATGGATGGATGAATGATGGATGGATGGATGGATGGACGGACGGACAAATGGATTGGTAGATGAATGGGTGGGTGGATGGATGGATCTGTGGATGGATGGACAGATGGATGGATGGATGGATGGATAGGTGAATGGGTAGGTGGATGGATGGATCTGTGGATGGATGGACAGATGGATGGACGGATGGATGGATGGATGGATGGATAGGTGAATGGGTAGGTGGCTGGATGGACAGATGGATGTGTAGATGTATGTACTGATGGATGTATGGATAGATAGTTAAATGGATGATGGATGGATGGATGGATAGATTGGTAGGTGAATGGGTGGGTGGATGGATGGGTCTGTGGATGGATGAACAGATGGATGGGTGGATAGATGGATGGGTGGATAGGTGAATGAGAGGGTAGATGGATGGACAGATGGATGGTTGAATGGATAGATGGATGGATAATGGATGCCTGGATGATGGATGCATGCGTGGATGGATGAATGGACGGATGGATGAATGAATGCATATATGGATGGATGGATGGATGGTGGATACATGGATGGTGGATGGATGGGTGGATGGATGCATATATGGATGGATGCATGGATGGATGAATGGATGTATACATGGATGGATAAATGCAATAAAGGATGAGACAAAAATGCAGGAGTCTAAAGGACACTCCTCACTGGATTTAATTTAATACTGTTTCTTGAAACACAAGGTCCTAAGAGGGAGTTACTCCCTCCTGTAGGCAAATTTTGTGAAAAGGAGAACTTGATGCTCTTCTCCCTGCACATTTGAAGCCACAGTAAAGTCAAAGCAGATGGAAATCAAGACAGATGGAAGGGAAGAGGGGTTTCTATGTTTTTTGCCTGATTATGATAAAAGTGCACACAGGCTCCCTAGGGGTAACAGCACCACCCCCGGTCTGGTCGTCTCAGAGCCAATGCAAGCGGCTCTGGTTCTGACAGCATAAGGGTGTCTGTCAGGCAGCATGAACACAGCCTCTCCCAGTGAACTTGGCCTCACTTCTGGAGGTGCGGCCGAGGGGCCATCAGTGCAGAGCACTGGCCCCGACCTAAACACAGAGTAGATGAGCCTGAGTTCTAGAGGCAGAAATACTGCTTCCTGAGAAAGGTTTCTTAGAAAACAGTCCCCTACACACGTGTGCACGGGAACCAAAGCGACTCGCTCACAGCAACACCCTAAAGAGATTTATGCTCTTCTCACACCGTGCAGGGCACACTCGGGTGGTCACTCTCCTCCGACAGCTGTGTGGTAGGCGAGCCCCACTTGCCAGCCTGCAGTCCTGGGCTGGGGTCTGCTCTGGGTGGGCACAGAGGCGTGCAGCCAGAATGGGTGACCTGCTGGCCACCAAGACCGGCTCGAATACTACTGTGTTCTTCTGATTTCCAAAGCAGGAATCCCTGCTTGTGCCAGACGGGGACCAGGTGTGGGTGGAGTGCGCGACACGTGGAGCTGGTCACCCGCGCTTCCGCCGTGGGGAATACACTTGGGCGGTTTCCCCCGTAAATGTTTCATGGCCTCACTTGGAAGATTGGGGGACATAATTTAGGAAGTGCCAAAATGCTCATGCCCTGGTGCCAGATATGAAACCAGTGGCTAAATTGGATAACTTCTGAAATACTTTTGTACATTTGTAAATGATCTTTATATAAATCTACGAAAATTCAAACTCAATTCACATAACAAAGAACCGCGAACACTTCTTTGCCCGTGTTTATGCAGATTCCGTGAGCTGTTCGTGTGCTTCAGGGGCGACTGTGAACCACCCTGCTCGACCTCACACAAAATACGAGGAAACGAATGTTTCTGCCTCCCAGGCCCCCGGAACAGCTCTGGCTGCTCTCTCGCCTTGAGCACACTAACTTTATTTTATGCTGAAGAAAGCCATTTGGGGCGATCAGTTCTCTCAGCTTGTGAAATGCCCGGCTCCCTGTGCCACAGGCACGGCAGGGGGAAGTTGGCGTGGACAAGTGGCACATTCTGCCCCCACCTCCCACCCACGGTTCGGGCCGGCGGGGACCGTGCCAGGAGCAAGGACAGCCTGAAAGCCTCAGCCGCGACCGCTTGGGCTGCACACTCCCGGGGGCCGGTGGACGGACACTTTGCTCCGAGCGCCGGGGGCCAGAGCCGTCCGTGTGGGTGGGCAGCGCTGCAGGAAGTGAGCCTGGGCCCCAGCAGCAAGGCGAGGGCGGCGCCCACGACGGCGGGGCCTGCGTTCCCTGGCCTCCCGCCCACACCGCCCCCGGCCCGCGGGCGCAGCTTTACCTGGTGGATGTGCCGGGGATGGGGCGTCCGGTGTCCACCAGGACGCACCAGCAGTAGCCGGTGGACGGGTGGCACTGGACCGGCTTGTAGAGCCCGCCGTGGGCACACTCCGGGATCACCACGTTGTCATTCTTGGGCTGCCGGGCCTCTTCCAGGGCCGACTGCTGCTCCTGGTCACAGGAGGACGCTGGGGAGGAAGGACAGAGGCGTGAGCATGGTGCGTGGGTGGCCCCTCGTGGGAGGTTGTGGGACGGGGCAGAGGCTGGCCAGTCAGAGGGAGTGGGGGGTGCGTGGCGGGCCCAGCTGACCCTGTGGCCACCTTTAAAGGTGGGGTGGCTCTGGGTGCACGAAATCAGCAGCATCGGCCTGGAGGCGTGCACCCAGCTTTCCATCCGGGTTGTAAAACCTGAGGCCACTTGCAAGTATTTTCAAACTTTTTTTTTTTTTTTTTTGCAAATTAGAGCTGGACCTCTATTTTCTACTTCTTTCGATTTTGTCACCAGCTTTTATTTAAGACGATGCTGACACAAAGAGAGTGAAGGTATACAAGCCCAGCTTATTTCCGAGCAGGAAGGGCCCAGTCTCAGGACACAGGGAGCCCAGGGCCACACGGCTGACACAGCCACAGCGTGTCCACGGCACAGGACGGCACAGGGGACCTGGGGCCACACAGCTGACACAGCCACAGCATGTCCACGGCACAGAGGACCATGGAAGTGCTGGCTGTTAATGATGAGAGGCATGATCTAATAGCATCTACCATGCATGTAACCAACAGCTGCTATTTCGAGTTTTCCAAGTGCTAGAACTGTCCTAATTCATTCATGGATTTCCTCATTTAGCCATCTGGCAGATGGGAAAACAGAGGCACGGATAAGTCACCTGGGGAAGGCCACGTGGCTCAGAAGGGGCGGACTCAGAGCTCAGATCCAGGCCCGTCAAGCTCAGCAGCACAAGGTCTGACTGCTGCCCAGCCTGCGCCCCTCCGACCTCCGGGCAGATGCAATTCTGACACCATCCGTGTAACACGGATTTCAATATGCCGTCTGGGGGCAACTGGGTGGCTCAGTAGGTAAAGCATTTGAATCTGGATTTTGGCTCAGGTCATGATCTCACTGTTCATGATACACGAAAATAACCCACTGCCACTGCATTTCTTCTAACACCATCACCCAGTTCTTTTAAATTTGAATTTGTTCCCTGTAAGTTCTGTCCTTTTCCATATATTCTAGATTTCACTCAAGAAATACACAGATACTGGGGTTCCTGGGTAGCCCAGTTGGTTGGGTGTCCGACTTCGGCTCAGGTCATGACCTCGTGGTTCGTGGGTTCGAGCCCTGTGTTGGGCTCTGTGCTGACAGCTCAGAGCCTGGAGCTGCTTCAGATTCTGTGTCTCCCTCTCTCTCTGACCCTCCTCTGCTCATGCTCTCTCTCTCTGTCTCTCTCTGTCTCTCTCTCTCGGTCTTTCTCTCTCTCTCAGAAATAAACATTAAAAAATTTAAAGAAAAAGAAACACATAGATACATAAATAAAACCCAGCCCTGCTTACATCATCATCATAAAGAAGCTTCCACTCCAACCACAACATGGAAACTGGCAAGAAGAAAAGGGCAGTGATTGGCATCTGTGGCCGCACTGCCCAGTGAGTCACTGCAGACCATGAGAAGCCCCATGGAGGACAGAGTCGAGCCACGTCTTCCCGGAGAAAATCCTGAGAGCAGTCAGCCCGTGCCTACAAAGCCCCACATACTCGGGAGAGTAGCTCATTCCCAGCACGCGCCCCTGGAAAACACACGGCTCACTGTAACATCCACTGGTTCCTTTTCAGAAATTTTATTAGTGAACAAAATTTATGGTGTGATTATCTGGGCACAAAATACTTCTCATGCTCCATCCAAGGACATTCTGTATCTATAGAAATGGTTCCGGGAAATTCTTGAAATGTCCCTTTGAGTATTTTATTTCATACTTGAAGGTTCATCATAAGCAAAATAAGATTAAGTCAACAATCTCTTAAAATTCGCTAAGAGTGTTGTAAAATATAGAAGATATTATAGCTGAGTCGGAAGAAATTTTGTGTTTGTTGCATAAACACCCTGGTTGGTTAGAAATGTTAACTTAAGCAATTTTATTTGGTAAGTCTGGCTCCGTGTGGGGAATTCAAACTTATTGGGGAAATGTAGTTATGTGTTCTGTTGGTAAGGGCCAAAATGAAGGAAGAAGATCTTTTTTTTTTAATTAAAAAAATTGGGGGGGGGATGTTTATTTATTTTTAAGAGAGAAACAGAGACAGAGTGCAAGGGGGGAAGGAGGGGCAGAGAGAGAGGGAGACACAGAATCTGAAGCAGCTCCCGGCTCCCAGCTGTCAGCACAGAGCCTGACGCGGGGCTCGAACCCACGAACCGTGAGATCATGACCTGAGCCAAAGTCAAACGCTCACCTGACTGAGCCACCCAGGTGCCCCTAGAAGATCTTTAGACAAACCAATGATGACCCTTGGGAACAGAAGCTAAACAGAAACTTGATTTCTGCTTTGGAAAGTGGCCCTCCCTCCCCGAGGCAGTGCCAGCCCCAGGGGACCTGAGCGCAGCTCACGCTGTGGCCACAGGGAGATGAAACAGACACCTGTTCTTCATAAAGGACATGAAGCACGTGTAAGTGTACATAAATGCAGAACAGAGCAACAGAAGTCCTATTTCACCACAAATCCAGAAACTTTCAAACACGGAGACACAGAAGCGGAGCTTCGAAAGGGACCATAGAAATAGGTTTCAAGGAAGGTCCAGAAGCACGTTGAGGGAGGCCCTACAAAGCATTAGAAAAGGACACGGGGAGGGGCACCTGGGTGTCACAGTGTGTTAAGCGTCCAGCTTCAGCTCGACTTTGGTTCAGGTCATGAGCTCATGGTTCATGAGTTTGAGCCCTGGGTGGGGCTCAGTGTAGACAGCGGCTTCCCAGCAGCCATGCTGGTATGGTGAGCCCCTTAACCCAACACATTGTGGCGACTGCACTGCTCTCTCTTCAAGGCCATTCCCTTCATGCTCGTGCCATCCGCGCACGTGCACTTGAGCCCCGACTCCACGAGCTTGCAGATGTGTGTGGCTCAGACACACGGCCTCCTGGGCCACACAGCCCATGCTGAGCAGAACCCTCAGAAGTAATTAGCACTTTGGAGAGAGTCAGCCTTAATATTTTTTCATGAAAATCTTAAAGTAGAAACATGAGTACAATTCTAACTTGTTTCTACGGATTTTTCATTTCTACACTCATATAAGCACTCTATATTTTTAGAAAACTACCTCTGTAAATTTGGTTGGATTTAAAAAATGAGTTAATTTCTAAAATTATCTTAGCTCCCAAACTAGCAATAGATTTTGGTGACTTCTAATTTGTCTGGTAATCTGACAACCAGAAGGAAATCACATTATAACAAATTGCTGCAGGACATTTTGAACTTAAAGAAAAAAAACCTTAACTGATGATCTCACTAAGTGTACCCCACTTGATTTTAGTATGACGATGCCCAAAATACATTTAAAGAAATTACATCCACTCTAAAAACCAGACCCAAGCTTTGGGTTCGGCCACGGTTCGTGGGTATGAATGCTGTGTCAGTGAGCTGCTCTGTAGCTCACCTTCCTAGAGTTTCACAGTAATAGTTAGGGTTTCAGTGTTGACTTGTCGACAGGCACAGAATCCTGGGAAGTTTCTAAGACACTGAGGTATCCAAAGCTGCTGCCCGTTTCCGTGTCCACCACCACAGATGCAGAGTTGTGCCTCCAGCAGGTCAAGAGGAGGTTCTAGTCTCTTCTCGACTCTGAGTTTTTTGCCCCACTCGTAGCTGTCGGCACAGCTTGCAAGGACGCCTCTCCTGGTCCCAGATTCTCCACAACAGGGTTTCTGCTGTTTGTGTTGGGGGAGGGGGGGCGACACCCAGCGGGTTGGGTGGTTGGATGGTTGGTACTGACACTCTGTGTCCCTTCATCCGCATGACACTCTGCCCTGGGAACATTCCCTCATATTAAAGAATCGCATAACTGTGCCATTCAACACCAGCCAATGTCGTTAAGAGTTGTTCAGAAACGATTTGCTGGTATTGAAGGGGTACTTATACGTTATCCTAATCATTCTTGCTCATTGTACTTATGTTAATTCATATCCAATTTATACTGACAGAATCTATTTTCTATTTACTCTCATCTTATTTATTCCTATAGATGAAGAGACAAAAAAATTTAATTTTTGAAGTCAGCATTGTTATTTAAATTTCTTCCAAATATATAGCAGCTTGCACGATGTGAAGTACAGACGATTAAACAAGATATGTAAGGAACACAGAGTCAAGACTGTTTAGTCTGACCTGGCCCACGGCTTTAGGGAAGTCATGTAAATGATGGAATCATTTGCCAAATAGTACCAAACCAGTCTCACTGCCTCATAAGATGGTCAGAAGAGCTAATGGAATAATAAATGAGTATATTTAGAAAGAAGGATAGGCCGTCTTTCAAAATTAAAGGGACTACTTAAAATACTAGAAATAATACTCAGTAACTCCTTTAGATATTTTAATAACATTATACCCTAAATGTAAATGTTTCTAGTTACAGTAAAACTATCCATTTTTGTAAAAAGAAAATTTGATGTTCATTTTTATTAAGGTGAACTACTTCATTTACTAAATGGCAAAACTCCCAGAAAGCTAGTATTAGAAGAAAATCTTCTCTATCTACTAAAAAACATATATATTTTTTAATGTCTTTAAGTTTATTTATTTATTTTGAGAGACAGAGAGAGTGAGCAGGGGAAGGACAGAGACAGAGGAAGTGAGAGAATGCCAAGCAGGCTCCATACCGTCAGCGCAGAGCCCGATGCGAAGTTTGAATTCATGACTGTGAGATCATGACCTGAGCTGAAACCACGAGTCAGAAGCTTAACCAACTGAGCCCTCCAGATGCTCCTGAAAAGTATATATTTTTAAAATGCACAGCTAACATCAGATTTAAGGATAAAAGACTTAATACATTCACTCTAAGATTGGACACACTGTCACCACTTCTATTTGTCATTATACTGAGTATCCTAGGCAACATATTAAAAGTAAGAATTAGAAACACATAAAGACTGGAAAGAAAAATGTAGAACTTTCTTTAATCACACATGATAGAATTATATATATAAAAATAATCT